AAGAGATTTTAGAGATTAGCAAACGCAGTTCACTTAAAGTTGGGGCGGCGGCTTTTGTGCCACGCCGTACGTTGAACCGCGTGATGATCGCCAAGCCATCTCCGCTCTCTCTCACGCCAGCGACGGGCGAAATGACACTAGGTGATTTGTGGTGTCTCTTCTACCTGCCTGCTGGGCTTGGCGAGTGCATTCGGGAAAACACATACGATCCAACGCTTGTGTTTCGCGTGGATTCCGTTGCGACCTTCTGGAAGGTGTTCAATAATATTCCTCAGCCGACAGAAATGAAGATCGGCACGCTGTACTTTTTTCGTGACGGGATCAATCCAAAGTGGGAAGACCCTGGCAATCGTGACGGTGGCATTTTGAAGATGAAATTAGATTCCCATTGCATCAATGATGCGTGGGTGTATTTGTTGTGCCGCACCATTGGGGAGTCGTGGTCGAGGTCTGTGCGTGATACCGTCAACGGCGTGGCCCTCAAAGCACGCGAGCGCGCGTACCTGCTAGAGGTGTGGGTCACGGAACAAAGCGCTGAGCTCATGATGGATATCAGCGAATTGCTGCGGCCTCTACTGGGCGATGTTTTCTCTGTGTTTTATGCGCCACACTCCGTGACGCAGGAACGTGCCGCCGCCGCTGCTCTCGCCGAGAAGAAAAGGAGCCGAAACAACCGACGCCGCTGGTAAGGAGAGAAAACAAGAGAGAAGGGAGCTTGTCTCTCCATGTGCATTTGGTTGCGCTTCCCATGGAAATGCGCATTGTAAGTTGACCAAATGCCTTCTGTCGAAGCCGAAGAGTCTAGCAGCCAATGCGGAGAGAAAGAAGAGGAGGGGATGGCTGGTGCGGGGCAGGAGGAGAAAAGAGCAAACGAGAGAAGACGAAAATAAATAAATAAGACGAGTGGGGCGAGTGGGCCGCCGAGGGGTAAATCAAGCGGAAGAAAAACATGAGGCGAACAAACAAACAAACAAGATCAGGCGGCTCTCTCCCCTTGTTAAAAAAAAAAAAAAAAGTAAGGCTGTGAAGGAAACGCCGGTTGTGGGTGCAGGTGTTGTGCCTTGCACGTAAGGGGCCAGCACGCGTGAAGGGGATTCACTTAACATCAACGAGAGAGGGGAGGGTCGTGCGCACTACAAGTGCGGGCAGCCGGCGGGGTGAGGGAGACGCAGCAGGAGCGGGGAGGGAACAGGCGACGGCAAAAAAACGAGACTCACCCCTTCTTTTTTTTTTTTCTCCCCACTTCCTGCACGGGATGAAATAAACAAACAAACAGACATGCGAAGGGCCTAAAACACACACACACACACGCAAACACACAAACACCGGAGCCAGGATGCCCACGTTTTCAAATGCAGTCGTTCAATTAATGCATTTACTTGCGTCGACTGGTCCGAACAAACAAAAAAATAAACAAACAAACAAAAAAGAATGAAAAGCATTAATAACACTTCTTTAGTGAACAGACTTGAGTGTATTCTCTGTTTCTCTCTTTCGGAGAGGAAATGTGGGAGAAGTGATGGCGTTTCGCTGAAGCTGCGCGCTGTTGCCGACATTCTGCCCTTAAAAAAAAATATTTGACCCCTTCTTTTCCCTCTTTTTTACTGTTTTTCTTAGGGACTAAATGCGGTCTGCTTTGGTTCTACCAGCCCTTATTGTCTCTGGAGGCCGTGCCGCGTGGAAGCAGCGGTGCTGCCAACCCGAATTACTCACCACTGCGGCCACGCGATGCGTCGGTTCGCTTGTCTTTTCTCCTACTCGTATTGGCCAAAAGGATCAGCGGCGCGGCGATCGCGGCGAGTCGCGCCGCCTGACATTTGATGAACGTGCCGAGCGTCGCATGGGAAAATCCCGCGAGCAGAAGATAGTTAGAGAGAACCTGCTGCAGGAGGCGGAAAAAGTCATTCAAGAGGACGTCCCGGATGAACTGGAGCAAATATTCATGCAGCACTTTGAGCGGGCGAATGTGAGCGCCATGAAAGTGCTCAACATGGCGAAGTGCCTGGAGCTCCTGGAGGCCGACGTTGGCGGTGGGCGCAAAGTTCTCCTTACGAAGGTGGCGCAGGTCGTGAAGACGAGTAACTCAACAATTGAAATTGTCCCCCAGAACGCGAGCTTTGCGAGCCCCATCCTTCAGCGCGTGACACGTTTTGACGGGACGCTGCAGGTGACGAAGGAACAGCAGAAGATCAAGGTGGTGATGCCGCCCGTAACGACTGCCCGCCGTGACAAGGCGGTGCAAGAAATACATCAGGTGATATCTTTATTTAAGCAGAAGACAAAGCACGTGCGAACGAACGCGTCCAAGGCGCTACAGGACGCCAGCATTGAAGAGAACGCCCTGCGAGAGCTGAATGCGCAGCTGGACACAGCCGTCAACGCCTTCACGGAGGAAAAGGTGGCGGAGCTGGAACAGCTCGCGGCGGATGTGACATCCATGGGTGTGGACGAGTCTGACTTTGGGGCGTGAAGGGAGCGCAGATATGAGAGGAAAGAAGAAATGAAGAGGACAGAAAATGAGCAAACAAACAAACAAACAAAAAAAACAAAAACAAAAAAAATAAACCTGAAAACAACAGCTACAAAACATCTGGTGGAGATAATTGATTGCGTTGCATGGCGCACTGTTGCCATCTCCATTTGCGAGAAAACTTTTACCCACCGTGTTTTACATGACTTATTTAGTCGTCTTTGCATTATTTTTTCTTTCACTTCTTTTTTTTTTTGTCTGTGAGGGCCCCAACAAAGTTTGTTCCTTTTGCACGGGAATTTTGGTCTTTATCTGCTCATCCGACGAGGCATACGTTTTCACTTCTCACAACGCCATCGTCTTTCACAACAGGCAGGAACAAAAGTCGAAACGCATCTGTCCCCTTTCTGTTCATCCCTACGTGTTATTTTCCCCTAAGTGTGTGTCACGTAAACGTTGAGTCGCACCCATTTTTTTGTGCTTTCTCTACGGCCAGCGAAAACGCGGGCGCCGTGCTTGCAACGATCACCTCGCCTGCACCTGCGCTGCCCCAGATCCCACGGCCATTGTGCGGAGGGGAAGGAGTGCTGTGCGTGCGTGAGTGGAGCGTGCTCTGTGGGTGAGGCGGCGGCCGTATATAATCATTTCTGTGCCATGACTGTCTCAATCGGGCCCGCAAGAGCAGCACCGACGGCGTGAAACGCGCAGGGCGACCGACGACTTCATGATGCGATCAATCGAGGCATTTGTATGACCGTGACGATGAGTTACACCTCCGTGCACCCAGCTACCTACAACAGGCACGGGACTGACGCGCCCCTTCCCTCCACAGCCCTCTCCGCCGCCTTCTCCCTCTCTGTCTCTCTGTGCCACGGTGCACCACCTCGCCTCCTCTGTCGTGCCGGAGTGTGTTTCCCCGGGCTGTGGCTGGCCGTTTTTTAACCCCTTGTTTCCTATGGGGGTCTGCCGTGCATGTGATGCGTCCCGATCTTCTTTATCCCAACAAAGCGTCTGACTCCTGTGCGTGAGGTGCACTCTGTACCCGTCTCTGATGGCATTATCACCCCCATTTTTTTTGCCATTGCGCAGCCTCCGGAGGGGAGTCTTGCCGAGTTGCGGAGGGCGAAACACTCCTGCTGGCGGAGGCGGACCACACGCCACTGCGACCGAAAGCCATTGATATCCCGCGGCGTTTGGACCGGTGTGTGCCAAAAACTGGGCGCAAAATGATTGTGCGATACACAACTGTGGAGTGCAAAGGGGACTGCGACGGATTTGCGTCGTGCTCGACTGCTGCTTTTGCCCTGCGCGCGCCTGTTTGTGTTGATGCCATTTTATTTTTCCCTGTTTTTTTCTATTGTTGTCTTGTGCGCACTTTCGC